GGGGGGGGGGGGGGGTTGCGCTGTTCCGAGGTGTTCGCGTCTCGTACAACGGTCTCCCGTCAACCTGCCGTTCGTGAGCGTGCGTGATCTATGTCATCTACAACACGTGCTGTTCAGACTAGCACACACATTCGAAGGGCCATTGCTGCCTCGTAACATGTCGCTCCCACAACCATCACCATATCTCGTGGCGGCGGAGCTCGTCCCTTCAGAGCTAACGCCATGAATCAACAGCTGGGTATACACTGCACAACACAACACACACACCTGACTCCTAACGCACACACACGAACATCAAAAACGTGCATCAGCATGGCATGCGCGTTGACCAACGTCCATCCAGAGCAGCGATGCGCCGTGACTGGTGTAGCTACGCACTACCACACTTTTCCGGACGTGACGCCGTATGACCCCTCCAGCTCCTCGTTCAGCACGTCGGCGAGGCGTGTTTTCGTTTCTCTTGTCTCGTGGTCCCCCTCCTCGGACTAAAGCAACCACAGGGTGGCACCGACACCTTCAAACCAACCGCCAGATCGCGTAAACCACCGCTCTTCTCGCTCTACTTCGCTTAGCCTCGCTGTCCAAAAACACTGCCTCCAAATTCATGCGCTACGCACGGGCAGAGCCGTGCTTCGATATCCTGAAAAACACAAGTTTCTTACTGTAGTGTGGTTGTTGACAACCTGCCCTCGAAACACATCATGCTTGGAGGAGAAATATTCTCATCTGCAAACAAGCATGGCCTAAAAACACACCTCGTGTGGAGGGAAAATCACTACCGCTAGACGGTTCAGCATGGGGTCCAGTCACACGCCATGCTTGGAGGAAAACAAACATTCCTAGTTGTTTGCACACCTTGCTTGGAGGGAAAAGCATGCGATAGAACGCCGGGAACCACGCCGGGAAGACCGAGCGCAGGACTCCCCGCACCACCTCCCTCTGCCTCTCGGGTGCGCCGGCCTGCAGCCCGGTCGCCAGGGCGACGTAGTCCTCGTACGTGTACCCCCCTCCCATCCCGCCGCCGCCGGGCCCTTGTCGCGGCGACGCCGGCACCCCCGCCGGCGCGGCCCTCCCTGGTCCCGCCAATGCTGCCGATAGCGCAACGCTACCGTTGCCCCCGCCACCGTTCGCCGCCCCCGCCCCGCCCTGCCCTGCCTTTTCCCCTCCCAGTACCGTGGCATCTGCTGCTGCTGCTGGTGCTGCTGCTGCTGCTGCTGCTGACGCCGGTCCGCCCGCAAGAGAACCGGCACTACTTCTGTCTGGGGCGGCGGTGGCGACCGCGGTCCTCCCGTCGGTGTCGCCGTTGCCCTTGGCGCGGACCACCGCCGCCGCCACCGCCGCCGCCGCTGCCGCCGCCTCCGCCTCTACCGCAGCGGACATTCGGCTGCTCAGGAGGTTGATCCACAGCGAGTCCACGAAGGAGTCGGTGTACTCGTTGTCGGGGGCCGCGAAGGGGTCTGCCTTCTTAACCTTCTTCTTACTGCTATTGCTGTCGTCGTCGTCGTCGTCGTCGTCGTAAAGCCCGGATAACGAGACTCGGCTGTTGAGCGGTGCATCGGCTGTGGGCGGCAAGCCGCCTAGCTGCTGCTGCTGCTGCTGCTGCTGCTGAAGCCATTCTCCGGGCTGGTGTTTAGATTTGAGTTTCGAGGGGTCGAACAAGGACGGCGGGAGAGGGGTCAGCTTGTAGACTTAATGGCGGAATGATATCTCGAGGTTTTCGTCCGGAGGACGAGCTTGCAGCAGGATTCATATCCTGATAGTCTCATGCATCCAGCGGCTGGCACGAAGCGTTATTTTCGTTAGGGAAATCAGGCTGGACTTCAAAGCCAAACTCTGGTAATTTCTGCTGAAGTCATCGCGGCGTCCAAAAAACATCGCACCAGGAAACAAAGACTATTTTTCATTGCCTCACAATCTCTACTGTATGTCCCGCAGGCCTACAACTCCGGGCGTTGATCTTGGGCGACCGGCGCGAACATGGCCACCGCCGTAGCAAACACTGCCGATCTGCAGGTACCCACCCCCACCCCCACTATGTACGAGCGATGACAGGGGTGGTGTAAGGGTGTGCGCAGGATTTCGGAACGAATAAATCGATACGGAGAAAATTGAAATTGTATGTTACAAAGTAACTGTTCTGGAACTCTGCTCCATCTGTGTGAGACTATTTTTGGCCGAGCAGCAGCATACAATTAGCCGCAGTCCGCGGATTGCCAGCCCACGCGCCCAAATGACATGTAGTTGCCCTTGCCGTCACATTCAAAAGCAGCTGATGTAATTTACCACCACTTATCGCTTCCATGAAGAGAGTAATTGCCCGCCACTCAGTGTATGTACCATTTAACACCACATCCCGTCTGTACATGAACACACGCCTCTTAAAGTGTGCGCTTTCCTGTCGCTACAACGGGACATGCCTGCCTACCTACCCTTCGTAGCTTTTCGCTCGCCGAGTGGCTAACATTGAAAGTCCTTTGTTTTATCGGCGGCAGTCTTCGTCACAAGGCACCCTCTGATCTTAAGAGTATCCAAGTTACACCAGCAGCAGAACAAATACTGCTGCGGTAGACGACTCAAGTATTGTTCATATAAGGATACCTAAAAATTACAGATATGCTGCCCGATCGAGACACTGAGTCATCGAAGGGATGCGTTGAAATCTCAACAGCAGCTAGTGTTGAGAAAACTATTTGTGCGAGTAGCTATTGTACTATCTTGCCGTAGTCTTTACAGTCTGCTGCATCTCCAAGAGACACACACCTGCGGCAAGTTTGTTGGCGCTTGAACGTTCGGAAATTCAACTGTTGTTGCCGCCGTTGCTCCTTCCTTCTGTTGCCGCAGCACCTCTTCCCTCACAACTACGCTCCTCTTCGCGCCACTACTAGCAACATCCGGCGGTCCATCCACGTCCATCGTTGCTTGCACTCCCCGCGACCTTGGCCGATATCTCTTCCCATTTCGCTGTCCCCATCGCTGTCGGTCGCTCACGTGGTCACCTTCAACAACCCGGTTCTTATCTCGAGTCACCGCTTTTTGTGGGAGCCCACACACGAATGCTGTTGGGAACGATAAAGAAGGGCCCGCTCTCGATGACGCATAAGCCGGCTGCTGGGCTTGATGCGCTTCCACGCATGCGGCTGACGCCTCCCGTGTCGGCAGCGATTGGGCCGCGATCAGCAGAATCGGTGTCATCAGCCATGATGACATGGCCTGCTGAAGAGGAACTAAGGGTGGTGCTCCTCTTGTCTCCTGCTTCCTCCGTCGTATTTCTTAGCCTATTGCTGTGCCTCTGAACGTCTGCCCTGCTAGATACCTGGAACACAACGCCCTGCACCGCTGCTGGCGCTGCCTTGTGACTACGGGAGAGTCCTTGGCAGCTTACGTGGTCAGGTCGCAGGTTCGTCGAGCGGCCGTTACGAGGGGTTTCGACCGAGAAGGCTTTTTCTTGCAGCGGCCCAACTGCTATTTTGGCGTCATGAGCGCTTCATTCTCGGCACGTGCGCGTGAGGTGATTCTAGGCAGCAAGTCAACTCTTCCCGAAAGCGCGTCCATTCGCACGGCGACTCGTGGCTCGTGACAACGCGCGCAGTGTGCTGAACTCGAGCTACCCACCCTGCTCTCCTACAGCAGTTTCCCCGAAGGGGCTCGACAAATAGGATTATGATGAATACGGGCATACCTACAGGGGTGCCGCGAAGGGAAGGGAAACACGCAGCACACAGCGGGAAAAGAGGAGGGAGATCAAGCCTCTTCTCGCGCACACAAGCTGTCCGTTGAGCTACCCTTGCCAGATCAACAACGGGGAGGAGTTGGAGGCTCGAAGTAGTGAACTTGATAAACGGCGAGACAATTACCAGCAAAGGGACGCAACGGCACCGTGTCGTAAAACATCTGCATTGTCGTTGAACACACAGCAGGAAAAACTCGGAGGCAGGATAAGCGCACGTGTATGCGACCCACAACGTCCAACTTGTCGAAGCAAAGCTTGACACTTTCAATCGTAGCTTGGTCTTGGCAAGTCCCCCCATGTCTTCACCTCGGGGGTTGGTCGTCCTCGCCTCGCCGACAACGCAACGAGGGAGTGGTGGGGCTGCTGCAGAGGTCAGCCGAGTGGACGTCCACGAGATGAGCGCTGCGCGAGTTTTGAACGCGATGAACGAAAACATTGGCTCCCTTGGTGAGGTGGACTTCCTCGCCTACGGCGTTGCGCGGCCTTCGACCCTCGTCTCTCTGAGCCTCCACAGCAACCGCTTGTCTTCGCTCGAGGGTTTCGCCTCCATGACTGTGAGTACATGTGATCTGTTGCTTTTTGTTGGCCTGCTGTTGAGTGGTGCTCTTTTTCCCGCATGCAGCAAAGCGAGTCCGGGAATCTTATTGTATTGTTTTATCTGCCGGGGCGCCGGCAGGGGCGGGCTGTTGCGCGCAATACCTAACAGCTGTCGGCAGCTTTGACAACCTGTGGGGACATAACCCAAAACTCACACATTCGTTGTTCCCACCCACCCTGCACGCGCGCTCTCGCAACGTTCCGAGCTACAAATCCACCATGTACGGCTGCACTGCTGTAGCAGCACACTTGGCACTGAAAAACAACATCGAAACGGATAAATCGCGGAAATTTGCACTGAAAATTATTTGGACCCAGTCTTTGCGGCCCACCTCCGTTGGTAACCCCTGTTGATCTTTCGGCAGTACAACGAGATCTGCGTCGCATTTTGCTGTGGCATCAACTCATACATTTAACTTGATTTAATAACTGAAATGGGGCCAACTGCTTTGTGGGTGCTGCTGTGTGTGGGTGTATCCTATTTATTCTGGCGCTACACACCTTCGTGCTATTCATGATGTTTGACCTTACATAATAACCTGTCACACAGAATAGTCTATCTATACTTTTGCGGAGAGGTTTATGTTTTTCATCGACAGCATAAAATAGCTACGTACAGGAAGTATTTTGTTCCAGCCGGCGTTACTTACGGAGCCTACGTTATCAGTTCACGTTACAAGTGAGTTTGACAACCTTTTTTGTGAGCACGTCACAACATTGCGAATAACATCCGACACTTTGCTGTACACCCGCTGAATCCTAACTCATGTTCAAGTTTCGACGCATCCTCTTGAGGAAGGAACGGCTGAATCAAAGTCAAAGTTGAAAATGATATCCAGACAGAGGCAGGCCCGGCGGCATACGCTCCCCCACGTACGTACTTTGTTGTTGCTATTGTTGTCTTCACATTAAAAACCGTTCCGATCTCTCTGCCCAGTAATATACCTCCGTCGTCCGTACTGATCTACAGTCGACCCCGCTTTAAGGACGCACATGGTTTTTCCTAGAAAAAAACGTCCTCAAAGCGGGGTTGCGTCCTTAAAATTCAGGGGACGATAGCTCCCCATCTCCGGGCCAATGGAGGCATGCTATACCTCGAACTACGCGTCTTTTGCTAAAAAGGGGGTGGTACGAAAAGTCAGCATCGCCGAGACGACTGGCAACCGTTTGTTGACTTCGAACATATTTACAATACTTGAAATGAGATGTACAGCAGTCAGGGTCGTGTTGAAAAAAACATTACACCAGTTTGTACTTGGCCAACTACTGTACTGCATAGTCGACAGCGGAAGAAGGAGGAAAGTCCAAGTAGACATATATTTATCTCATTCTTGTGAAATAAAAAAAAATGAGCGTATTTCAGCGTCGCACCGAGGAACACCAGCACATATCACTGTCCTGGCGGAGACCAAAAGCTACCCTGATGGCTTTTCCTTCCACATATCGCGAAGAGTTCCCTGAACCTCCCCCTTCGGCTTGGCTCTGCGGCTCTGTTGAGTTTCATGAGTAAACGAATGAACGGTCTTCGAAAGAAGGTACCAAGTCTCACGGTACTCGCCACCCCTTCCCTTCGCGTACAAATACAGATAGCGNTTCGGCTTGGCTCTGCGGCTCTGTTGAGTTTCATGAGTAAACGAATGAACGGTCTTCGAAAGAAGGTACCAAGTCTCACGGTACTCGCCACCCCTTCCCTTCGCGTACAAATACAGATAGCGCCCGCGGTTGAGAAAAATTATGTTAAGAAAAAAGGCTCAACTTTGTACGAAAAATAAGAAAAAAGGGCTAAGAAACATAAGCCCAATCTCGGCCACAACGTAAGAAACGCCCCAATAAGAAACGTGATGGTGCGATACCCCCATGACATCAGAAATCTGCGGTGCTCCCAACCCCCTCCCAAGCTGAACAGAAGTGCATTTTTNCCCCCCCCCCCCCGCGCCCTTCACAGTGAGTTCTGTACTGTAGTATTGCCACACATCTCGGACAACCATATGCTCTTTGCTGTTGTACGGGTTCGATGGCACTCTCCACCACCTCTCTTGAGGGGTTGATGATGTGGATTGTCCTCAGAGATCAAAAGACAAAAAAAGAAAATACGTACGTACTTGTTGTAGTCAAGGAATAAGAGAATCGGGAGGACAGTCCAAAGGAAGAAGAAATGCCATTAACGAAACGGACGACTTGGGCCCGTACTTCGACCCAAAAGAAGGGATTGGTGAGGCTCGAACCGATTTTGACGTTTCTTAACTGCGGGCGCTATCTGTAGGATCGAACGTCCTCCGAGCGAGAGATAACCTCGTCCTCGGTGAGAGACGAGGTTTTGCACGACTCTTTTTTTGGCGGCATCCGATGGACCGGCGGTAGGTAGATGGGAGGAATCCATCCATACCAACACCCAGCTGCAGCAGCAGCAGCAGACCGCTCGCTACTTCTGTTGTCGGTGCGTCGCTACTTCTGCACTCACTGTGGTGCGTGGTTCGTGCAAAGAGCGGCCCGCAGGCCCGCAGGACACAGAAGAAGGGGGGTACACAGCAGAAAAATGGGGGTACCGCATCATCGTTTATTCTGCCGGGCCCCCGGTGCTCAGCTTAACAAGTTTCCTTTCAAGCGGGGAGTTTCCTTAACGCGAGCGTCCTTAAAGCGGGGTCGACTGTACGATCTGACGCGGTCAATTCCCCGCGGGCACAGGCTAGCTAACCCTAAAAATATATACTCGAATAAAAATGGACTTGAAGGGTCCGCAACACAAAAAAAACTCGAACGGGTGGTCTTTCGGTGAGATTTGGATACTTTCTAAAGCAATACAGAGACAGATTTTCTGGAGCCCTCCGCTCCCCTCTACTCTGTGTGAGGTAAATTTACACGAATTCTCTTTTCGGTGAAGATGCGTCGATCCAACGATGTTTCTCAAATGCCAGAAGCGACGACATCAAATCGAGATTCAGCAAAACACAGATGCACTGCAGATGCACTGGAAAACGCTGTCGGGGTTGCGGCGTGATGACGGATCCGGTTGAGTGATAGACCAGTGCACCGCCTTGCCCTTAGTGTGATATTTACCATAATAGGTTTGTGTTATGTTACGATACCTCGAAATGTTAGGCTTACGTACCGTCTCGCTTGGTGTGTGCTTGTCTCCCGCCCTGTTTTATCTGGGCAACCAACACCCGCGTTAAGGAGAAGAAAGTCCTGCGGAATACAACGGAAAATACACCCGTCGCTGACGAGTCCAGTCAGCTGAGAGGCTAAATTGAGCACCAAGACTTTTCATTTCCATCTCCCATAGAAACGGTGTGATTGATGAATACCGCCGAGAGACAACGAGAGGGGGAGAGAGAGCATGACGAAATTTGCGATGGCTTTGCGTCATGGCAATGTTTCGAGAGGGGTGATGTGCAGCGTACGTGGCACGGGGTCAAGAAATTCAGGCTCAACAAGAATAAATTTACGATCTTGACTACCTACTAGAATCGGTGCTCAGCTGAGAACCCTGCACTACTGTTGTACAACCTGCCGAGCCGCTACTATTCGCTGGGTTACCGCGCAGAAAAAGTAAGAAAAAAGAGCCTCGTGCAAAATAACAGGTTCTTGAGTCGTGGCGCGTTCTGTATTTAAGTGGCACTAACTGCATCCTCCCTACGCGTTCGTCGCTGATGAGCACATCCGAATCGCTGTGATTTTCGACAACAATCTACGTCGTGATCCTACGCGAGTCATAGCGCGAGTCCTAGTCGCTGTGCACTATTATAAAGTGCTGCTTCACCGGACTTTCAAGGAGCGGCTGCCGCAGTCATCTGCGCGTAGATCCCGCGGCCTCGTTAGTTCATTGTGTTGCGGCGTACTGACCTTGTCCATCGTTCGGACGTGTCCCGTCGGGGTCCAATCAGGATTTCCGCTCGCAAGAAGCGTAGACTATTTAGCACGCCGTACTTACGTCATCGTCTCCCACCACGCATTCACACCCGCTTCCACTTGCACGCTGTACTGCCTGAAGACACCATCGTGCTCTGGTTTCATGTTTCAAGCATCGGACGTG